ACATGTAAATCAGAAAGGATAGATGTGATATTTGCCTTTTTTTTTTTTTTTTAATGTGTGAGTACATCTGTACATCTATTTTCCTAGTTTGAGTGTTTATTATAATCTTTATTCATTATTTCTTTAGAATAGTCAGGTGAAGGGAAACTGAAATACATTTTACTGTGTCTCTATCCTAGATCTCTTAATTTGTTGCTGATTGCTGTGATTCCTGGGGATTTATGTAACCATCTCCTCAGCTGGACAGGGGAGAGAAAATAGTGGAAGGTTCATGGGTCAAGGTAAGGACAGGGAGAGATCACTCACCAGTTAATGTCTCAGGCAAAACACACTTGGGAAATTGGCTTAATTTTACCACCAATCAAATCAGAGTAGGATAATGAGAAACAATGAGGCTGCAGGGGAATCTCTGCTCTGGAGCACCTCCTTCCCCTCTGTCACTGACCTTGGTGTCTGCACAGCTGTTCCTCTCACATTCTCCTTCTTCTCCCTCTTCTCTCTGCAGTTCCAGGCTGTTGCACAATTGTCCCCCTTCCCAGCTCTGTTAGCCCAGACATGGCTGGCATTGGCTCCCTTGGAAGCTTCGAGGAGCTTCTCACAGCAGCCACCCCTGTCACCCCCTCTCTGCTTCCAAACTTTGCCACACAAACCCAATACACACACATTGTACTCTCTCATATTATCTAGAATTAAAAAAAAATTATTCTCTCATGTTTGTGACAGATATTTGTAATTAAGTTTTCAGATAACAGTGTTTTTGTAGGAGCAACTTGATTTTTTTTTTAATGTATAATACAAAGCTGTGCATCAGACATAAATTCTATATATTATATCTTGGCATATATAGGATGTGATGTTTGATATTCAACATACAGAACTGAACCTTTACTAGATTTTGTACAACTTCTGAGTTAGTTATCTCAAAATGAACAACTGCATATTTATATTTAGATGCTTAGAAGAAAGAAATTGCCTCTTAATGTTTAAAGAATTATCACTTTGTGATAATTCTTTAAACATTAAAAGTGAGCTTCTCAGTAGTTTTGAAAAACAGCATAAAAAGTTAATAATGTTTAAAAGTACTATTTTCTTAACAAGTATTCCATCCTTTTTATCAGGCCTTTGTTGAATATGTTATTGGATTGTCCAGCAAATCAATAAAGTTCAAAGAACAAAAGCAAGCATTTTATATCTCACAGGTATTGCAAAATGATGCCCTTTGGTTAGGAAAGTCTGTTTGCAAAAGCTCCATGAAAGCAGCTTTTAGTAGTTACACATCAAAAGAGCAGTTATGTAAAGATTATATTAAAATACTCAGATTTATTGTATTAATAGTCTAAAATTTTCAGTGGGTCTGGTGTTCAGTATTACATGACAGTCTGCAAATGTATATTCTGATGTATATTGCTAGACAGATAGAGGACTTAAACCAGAAATGTCTTGGTTCTAATTTGCAAAGGGTGAAATAAGGGAAGTAGAGAGTGGTGGAATGCAGCACGCTTGGACAATTAATTCAGAAAGTGTAAGAGCAGTTACTGTCTTCTTTTTTTTTAAATACAATTCAGTGGTATGTACAAAAAGAACACCGAACAAAGAAATCAAAGAAATGGTTTTTGCTCATGAATATAGTAGCTCTATTTTTAATCCATGGAAAGCAAAAAGTTGAGTTTGCCTTTAATGTAGAGTCAAACAAATTCTGCATTACCACTGGCCCTGTGCTGCACACCCCTGGGTGGCTGCAGGAGAACGGGCTGTGAGTTGTTTGCAGTGTTCCTGAACAAGAGCTGAGCCTGTGGGAAGCAATTCTCACCACACCTAGTGATGAAAGGTTTGCTTCAATGTGAAATTTGGCTCTTTCACCTGAAACTTGAATCACTACATGTTATAGGGACACGTGTCTGAATTTAGAATGTTTCTGTGCAAGAAACCATTTGAGCACAGTTATGTGACTAAATATATGGGAAGTCATCAAGGTTCCACTGTCCTCTGACACCAAGTCCAGTAGGTTTATGTTCCATATTCCACAGCAACAGATTTTTGAAGTATCTGCACTGATGAGTAAAATCAATATATTTTGTCTAGAAAGGAAAAAAGTCTTCAATCTACACTTGATAAAACATCATTGCCTAAAATTGATGTATTTCATCAAATTCACTTTTCACAACAATAGGGCAGTTTTTTACATTTTGGAAGACTGAAGCAATAGTGAATGATTCAGGAAGACTAGTCTGAACAATACTGGAAAAAAGGTTATGACATGAAATTAAAACCTAAGACTAATTCCTTTAAAAGGAATAAGAGGGTTTATACATTCACAGAAAAAGCAATGATTCTGCATAAATTTAGGAAACACAGAAAAATCCCTCCACTCCTTCTGTAATGCACTTAAAGGAATTTTCCTGTTCCATGGTTTGTTTTACATGAGGGAAAAAACCCCAAGCAATTTAGTGTAAATGTGTTTGATTTTCAGAACTTTTCAAGGTGTTTGGGGGAAAAGATGCAGTTATTAAAAGTAAAATTGCTTTCTCACTGAGTTATGTACGAACATCAACAAAGGTAACATGAGAATTATAGATGTAATATTAACGAATGATAATAGCCATTTCAAATACTTGTATGCATATATAATCACGTTTTGCAAATCTTGGCATATTACTGGAGAGATTTTAATCATTCCACTAAAATTTCTCACTGCTCATTTTATGACAAAATATTAAATTCTTTCAAGTTTCCCACCGTATTTCCTAAGGAATGTGAACATCTTTTTCAGTCACAGAGGGAAAAGAAAAGCTCATTTGTGTTCCTTGGTGCTGTTTCCTCCTTGAAAACCTAGAAGGGAAGTGCCCTGTTCTGTTTTCTGAAGGAAACGTGATGGATGATCTGTCACAGGATATATGATAGCACAGGAAGCCAGTGTAACAGCAAAAACCCTCCCGTGAATACGTTTGTCTATTTTGGCAGATGAATCTGTGAAAGTTCAGCTTGCAGAGGTGCAGCTGTTTCTCTGCTGCAGTGAGCAGCAAAACCTCAGAGGAAGAGTTTTGAACTGCTGCTGCTACTGAAGTCAGTATTCAAAGCTAATTTATTCAACACACTTTTTGCATGAGGCTCAACAAAGAGTGCTGATAACCACACTGGCACTGACCAGTAGCTGCCACTACCTTGTTTTTTGAAATACATCAGTCTTAACTCAGAGGGTTTTTGATTCCATTTCAAGTCAATGTGAATTCTCAGAAATATAACCCCTGTCAAATAGAAGCTACACCAACAATAATTTTGGTCACAAATGAATAAAAGACTATGAATATTATACTGAATGAGTAAAATTATACTTCTGATCCAGAGGAGGGCAATCTAGCCCCAAAAAAACCCCCAACCCAAACCAAACTTTAAAACCCCCATCAAAACAACAAACTAGAAGAGTTCCCTGCTCTCCTAAGGTTGGCTATTTTTGACTGACACACCAGCACTCATTTATACAGCAAAACATCTTTAGTTTTCCATAGTTCAGAGGAAAACAGCATTGTTACAAGCCACTCTTTTTATGGGAGAAGGAAACAAGTCAATATCAGGAATAAAGTTTGCTACACTCTTTTTCATACCACAAAGAAACTTCAGTGCTTATTATTGTAGCACTGAGATGTAGCTGATTCAAACTGATACCAAAAACCACCAACTGTGTTTTCTGAGGTGTTTTTCTGAGCAACAACTCCAATGGCTGCTGGTCACCAGGTTAGACTGTGCTTTGTATTTAATTGGTATTGTCTGTCAAATCTTTAATTGTTATAAAAATCTCAGTTATTTTTAGGTTAATGAAATAAAAATAGGGAAAACATAAGGAGAGTAAGAATGGTAAATGCATGAAACTGTTACAAATTTGTTAATTCTCCATAAACTATTTTATTAGCTTAAAATGTACTGAATGCCTTGTTGCTAAAACTGAATTTAAATTCAAGTAGCTTTTAATTTATTTTATTTTTCCTGTTCAGCTCTTGAATACTCACCCTACTGGTTATACTGAGGAAAAGAGTCTTTAATAAATGTTTAAAAATTAGGATTTAGAGAAAACCTTGTCTAAAAATGTAAAATGTGATACTTGAACTAGTAAATCTATCCAAGTATTTGCAATTACTTGTTTGACATTTGCAAGGGCTGAAACTAAGAATGCCTTCACAATGCCTCAGGATCCAAGGCTGATCCATTCCTCACCATGTCTGGTCTTGTCCCAAGAGATGAGGTAAGTCAAACAGGTTCTCAAACTTCAATTTTATAAGACAGAGGCCATTATATTCCAACCAGCAAGGGGAGAAATCTACTCACTGTGTATCTCTCTGTGCAGCTGTGGATCTCAGTGAGCTGGCTAAGAGAAAGGAAGTAATGCCCGTCCAAGTCACTCCAAAATCACTGTAGTAGCAATGGATATTGCTGAATATTTGCACTCTGTTCTGCCTGACACAACTGTATTCCCAGAAGCACAAGGAACACGGATCTGTGACTCTGTTCACTAATAGGTTTTAACCAGTAAAAATTCCAGTACTTACAGGCCTTACTTTAGTGCTACTGAAGGAAAGTCCCTCAGTTATGTCTCACTGGACATCTGGAACTTTTGTTACTGTTAAGAACAGAGGAAGTAATGAGAAGTGCACTGTCATGGTGCTCGCTGTTAATGCTCTTGCTGAAATGATCTGGGAAAGATAAACCTTTATTGGATTTACTCATAGTGTGATGTAGGTTTTATTTTTTTATATCCCAACTCCTGCTAAGATAACCATTTTTTTCCCTTAGTTTTCAGATACTGGACTGGGCGTGTCTTAGGTAGCTCACTCTTTTCAGGATATTAAAAAAACCATGATTGATTCTTGCTTGAACATCTTGAGTTCTCCACAAGTTAAGAACTGCATTGTTTAAATAAAAATACTCAGTACTGAAGTTTACTTACAACTTAGTATAGTTAGTAACCAAAATACCATTTGAAGAGAAATAAACTACAGAAATTGAAATGCAGTGACCATGGTAATCTGTTTAATAAATTAAGACAAAATATTAAATATTTGTAAGAAATCAATACCAAAAAATCAAAATATTTTACTTTAAATTGTAATGTACAAAGATAGATTTGATTCAAATCTATATTTATCCTTCTAAGAGAATCAGTATTTTGTCTTTGTTACTAACAGGAGCCATTAGCTCAAGCCCGTTAAATTACAGTTCAGTTTCAAAGTTCTGAAACATCAAACAAATTTGAACCAGAAGTAATTCTGTAACAAAAGAACAGATTTTAAACAAATTTCATTCCTTCATTAAATTAAACATCACAATACCTCTATCACATTCTAGGTCAGGTGTCTGCCTTAGTCAGAGATGACCAAAGCATGGAAAGCAACAAGGACTTTTTTGTAACAGCAAATGCAGTGAACAAACCCAGCAATCACATGCTCACTACTCTGTTTACAGGGAAGCAAACTTGTTATCCTGAATTTGGATTACAATGAGTTAGTGTACTGACTATGGGCAACTGTATCAAGCAGTGAACAACGGTGAGGGCAGCCTTAGTGGTGGAGTCTCCAAAAGCTTTGAAGAATCCCAGCATAAAAAGAAAGGGCTCAGTTCTGCAAAGTGAGTATTTCTTCATCATCGTGTTGATACCATCAAAAGGAAAAAAGTGCCTGTCCATTTGCAACATTGCACTGCAGTCTAGTAAAACAACTCCCACAAAATATTATTTTAATGTATGATATCACTTTAACGAGATCTGAGCCTCAAATTGCTCAAAGAGAAATTAATTCCTGATTTCCAGGTGCATTGTAGCCTCTGAACAAATGTAACAGGACAAAGTCATGTAAAAAATGTTGCTTCTGTCTGAACATGTTTAATCCAGCAATATAGGTAACATAATGTCATTAATATTTCCATTTCTTCTGTGCTTGTTTGCCTGTGCATGTGACAAGGCCTTGTGCCATGGCTTTTACATGTGTGCAGGTTTGCAACCTTTCCCACAAATAAAGAACACCAGGAAACTGTGGCAGTAACTGTGGGGGGTGTGCTGTGTGCTGGCACTGAAAAATACTTTTAACACAAATGTGGTCTACCTTAGAAAAGGCCATGAGAATTGTCTTTTTCAGTCAGTCATCTTAATGTATGTAAAACCTCCAATCATATGGACATTACTCAGAATCTTTCCAAATATTCCAGTCAGCTATATGAATGGATAAATGCTTAAATGTGACCTAGGCAAGACTGTAAAGACTGGACATGTGTTCCTTAGGGAACATCTGAAAACGTACCTGCCCCAAGTTTAGACAAAATCCAACTAAGTAGTACAATAACTGAATTTTTGTTTTCACACCTACAAAGAATAAAACCAGAACAGTCAGAAAGAAAATTCTTGAGAACAAAAGTGATTTCTCTAATGAGCAGCACGGATTTTGGAGTTGCCAGGATGTCTAAACTACTCCCAAGCAAAGGCTAATGGCACCTTACTGGACTCCCCCAAGCACACCCCCGATCAGCAGCAGCACAGAACAGACGGCTCCCAGCTCTCCCAGCCCTTGGAGCAGTGCCCCTCTCTCTGGGAAGCTCTGATTGCAATGTTTGCATTGAGGCTGCTCGGGTTTGTACCAGCATAACCATCCTCCTCCTCCCCCTCGGCACCGGGAAAAGCTAGGGCTCATGAGTTACCCTTTGCTGCCCTCTGCCCTCCTCGGAGCCGGTTTCTCAGTGAAATGCGATTCTCTGGGCTTCCTGTGAGAGCCCCAGCAGCCGCAATCTCTCGGCTGGAGGAGTGGCAAAATAGGCTTTTTGCTCCTCCGAGTACCTTTCCTTCACTTCAATGATGTCCCTGTAGCGGCCGTCCTGCCAGTGGAAATTGAACTGCTCCAGCAGCTCAATCCTCTTCTCCTCCGTGCTCACACAGTCAACAGGGGCAGGCTGTTCCAGGAATGGCACCTGAATGGCTGGGAAGAGCAGGAGACCCCGGATAGCAAACCAGCCGCCATACTTGGGATGGATACAAACACCAAAGATCCTCTGGAAGAAAAAAAAATATCCAGGCTGCCTCACTTTGTGTCTAATCAAGGCTAGACTTCAAAGCATCCATCAGATGCTTCTCACTCTCACAGCCTTCTCTTGGAGAGCTGTACAGGGCAGAAGGGAAAACTTTCCTGAACATGTGGCTCAAAGCACTGCATTTCACTCCCATTTTCCTGTGCCCACACACACCTCCCTGGAATGTGGGGAGAGGTTCCTTTCTGAAAATCTATTACAGAAATTAACCACAGAGCATTCTTGCCCCAGTTTGTAATGCTCTAAGCAACAGGTTTTCCTTTACACTGCCATTTATTCTTCTATCTAAGTAGGTTTAATAGATTAAGATATTTCTCTCCATGCACATCTCCCTACTACCCTGAAGAATCTTGGAAGTTTCCAATTCCCACCTGAAACACTTTATGAACCTGCATGTGCTCTGGACTTTGTAGTTTCCTGCAAGATGAACTAATGACTAGTGAGCAAACAATCACTGCACAGTTCAATGCTTGCAGTTCAGTGGTTCTTCCCAGACTGTGTTTCTGCCTCACCTTTTTCCCCCAAGGATCAAGTTTCACATCCTTCCTTTGGTAGTAATATGCAGCTCCAGCAACGTGGGCAGCTGTCTGTGCCAGGAACTTGGGCTTTCGGCTCGGCAGCATCTCGTAGTCAAACATGACATCCACCCTCTGGTCAGGGAATTTCTGGGAAAATTTGAAAATATCAGCCCAGGCTCATGGAAAAGCTTTGCCACTCCAGAACTGCTGGATGGCAGCAAATCAGGCACATGTGAAGCCTGCAGACTCCCACATCCTGCTGCTGAATTCTATCGGCAGGTTTGAGGCTGTGGGCATTCAGCCTGTGCCTGCAGAGCTCCCTCACAGCTGAGAGATGTAATCCAGAGGCAGAACATGCAAGTAAAGCACCCAAAGCCTGCTGATGCTCTCTCCTTCATGAATAATGCTTCACCCTTCCAAAGAGCAGGCAGGAGCCTGCAGGGCTTTGCTGCTCAGCCCACCTGGTTATGTGCCACAGCACTACATGGAATGGGGATTTCAGCTTCTTACCTCCTTCACACGTGATAAATGATGGGAAATACACTGATCCACAGGATCCCTGATTATTTTTAATCGTTCTTTGTTCACAAAAGGCTTAAGGGCCTTGTCGAACATGGACGGCGTGCTGAGGATCACGAAGGCCAGCGTGTCATCTGGGTAGGGGAGGTGGAAGGCTGGCTGGAGAACAGCATTGTACCACCCAACCTTGGCAGAGAAACACACATTTCCATTAGAACACAGACACCACTCTAGTGGACAGGCAGGAATGTAAAAATGTGGAAATAACTGTAGCCCCCTTCATTTGCAACCCAGATGGGCAACCTGCCCAGAGCCTTCCTTTCAAACCAAGTTGTTTTGCACACCAGGATTCAGTTTGGGAAAGCTGTGCTGTGAGCTGTGAGATAAGAATCACACACAGCATTCAGCTCCTTATAACCTTTATCCAGCTCTGCTCAGAAACCTAGAGGGAAGTATGAGCAATCAGTCTTGCCAATGCAAATCAGATTGTTTGGTTCAGATAAAGCTTTTACAGGTGGCTTTTTTTTTCTCTTATCTCGGCCAGAAAGAAACTGGTGCTTCTGTTTTGTGTGACAAGTTGCATGTTGTACTTCTGCAGGAAACACTTGTGGAATGAAGGATGTGAAGCTCTTGGCACTGCTAAGCCCCCCCTAAAAATGCTTGTTACCAGTAGCACGTGGATTATGATACGGCCACATTTGGATATTTGATTCCAGGGCTGGACAGGTTATAACACAGTCCAGAAATGAGAGATCAAGCCAGGGCAGCAGGAACCATGACCAGGGGACAGGGCTCAGACCTGCAACTGCCAAGTGCAGGAGGAAATGGCCCAAACCCCCTGCACCCCGCTCCTGATGCCCTGCACAGTAACATCAGCCTTTTCATAGGTTACGACAACTCCCTCTCTCCCGGGGCGCCACAAGGCCAGGTCTAACAGTCAGAGAGATGCTGAGTAATGGCACAGTAAGTTTGAAAATGAAACGTACTGGTTGTTCTAAATAATCAGTGAATTACTCTGACGGTCACTCTGCAGCTGGCAGTGGCAGCCAGACTGCCCATCAGGAAACACAGAACAAAAACTAGATTCACTACAAAGTTTACATTCTTATATGAAACTCTAAGTTTAATCAGTTTTGTGGCCCTGAAGGTGCTGAAGTAAGATGTTACAAGGAATTAGAGAGATGCGAATCTAAGCTTTGCTGGTTCCCCAGTGAACATCAGTCATTGCACCCACGTTGGCTGTGTCAGAATGAAATCTGGAGAGAGCTAGAGGGCTAAAAGGTTTCCCCTCTGGTAGCTCCAGTTTTTTCATCTGGGTTCTGCCCTGAATTCTGCTGATGTGTTTTAGGCAAGCAGCACTGAATTTTCCAAATTCTGGAGGCACTTCTCTCACCAGCTCACTGCCTTGTACTTGTTATGCAAACAAGATCATAGCAGGAAATAAAAATATTTCAGGTGACAGATACAACACTCCCCGAGGGAAGGGCACGTTTATTGCAGATGGATTCGATGTTGCAGATAGATTTACTGCAGATTGCCCTGGGGCAGGCAAGGAAGGAGCCCCTGCACTTACAGCCGAACAGGGCACAGCGGCGGAGGCGGCAGGGGCCCCTTCCACGGGCAGAGCAGAGGTCAGAGGAGCGCATGGGCTGCTCAGCACAGACAGGCGCTCCCTCACTCAGATTAAAATTTAAGCTTGCCTAGAGGACTTTGCCGTCTGCTGGGGCAGATGTGTCATTACGTAACTCCCGACCCCGCCGGCCGGGGGCCCGCACCGAGGGCCGGGGCAGCCGCTGCCGCTGCGGTCACCTTGCCCCGCGCTCCCGGACCCCCGGCACCCCCGGCACCCCCGGCCCCTGCGCAGCCCCGGGACCCGGGACCCGCCCCGCGCTCCCGCAGCTCCCGCAGCTCCGCGAGCTGTGACGTCGTGCCCGTGACGTCACCACGACGTCATTACCTTGAAGGCGTGCGCCTCGAGGCCGAGCGGGCCCAGCGCGCTGCGGAGCTGCTCCGCCACGCGCCGCTCCATGGCGGCGGCGGCGGCGCCGCGCGGGGTACCACGGGAGCGGTAGTTCCGGCCCTGCGGGACCCCCGGCGCGCATCCCCGCGTCTCCTAGGAGACGGCGCGGCGCGCAAAGGACCGCGGGAGTTGTAGTGCGCGGCCCCCTCCCCTCCGCGCGGGCTCGCCCGGAGGGGACTCCGTGTCCCAGCATGCTCAGCCAGCGCAGGCCAGCCCGGCTCCCCGCGCGGCTCCCGGCCTTGTGCCCGTCCCTGACACACCGCCAGGGATCAGGCGTCTTTTCCTGACCTCACACTCTGTGGGAATGCCCCACCTGTGCTGTGAGAGGGTGTTGCTTACCGAAACAGTGAGGCCTCTGTGCTGGCAATCCCTTCTCGTTCCCCTTCCGAAAGATTCTTTGCAGATTCTGTATTCCCTACCACTTGCCATACTGGAGACTGAGCCTCAGATTTGGATGTCCTTACCTTAATCTTTATAGCTGCTTATCACAATCTTTATAGTATTTGTGCAATGCTCTCCAGCTTGTAGTCCTGGGTTTTATGAAGTTCAGGACACCAAATGTGTACGTTCTTGGAGACAGAACTACCTCAGATATGCAAACTTAGTGCTTTGTGCAGTTTCCTTATATCTTCTAGTACCCCAAGAGTTCCTCCTTATTATATCCATGCCTTCTCTATTGGGAGGGCAGATGGATCCTGTCAGTCATGTTTAGAATTACAGTTTGTTGTTTCCAGATCTCCCTGTATTTCCAGCTTGTGATGTTAAATCAGACCACTAACTGTGTTCTTTCTTGGACTAAATTGCAAGTAATCCTCGTACAAAATCTGTTTCCACCCATCCATTCATATCATTGAATATCTCAGTCTATGAATTGACTAAAACAGGAGAAAGAGCTCCAGCAGGAGCAGATCCATAAGCTATGAAGTAGTGAAAGTAAAGGCAGTGGATCCAAAGCACTGATAGCTGCAAGAGCCTCTTACACAGGTCACTTCTTGTCTAGGTTTCTGAAGTCCTGCTGAAGAAACAACAGGCTGAGTGTAGCCTGGCACAAGGCTGCTCCATCTCCCTGCTCAACAAAGATAAAGAGCTGGATATAAGGCAGAAAGGGCTTTTTACCCTTGATGCTGGATATAGGAGGGTTTTGCCTATGTTGGCATGTTATATGTCCAACGCCCTTCTTTTCCTCAGTTCTGAGATTTTTCTGAGGGGCTTAATGCTGTGCTGGATCAGAGGCTGCCTCTGGAAAACACTTGGAAGTGGTTGTCCCCTCTCTCTCAGGTGAGCAGCCACAAAGCTCAGTCTAACAGAGCACAGTCTTACAGTTTGTACAAACTCAGGGTGGAAGCGTGGAGCACTCGCCGGAGGCTGGGCCGCACCAGAGGGAGGGGACAGCCCTTCAGGGACCCTGGGGATGCCCAGTCCAGGCACGCTGCAGGAGCACAGCGCAGCTCCCGGGATTCAGGCGCAGCAGCTGCCTGGGAGCTGCAGGAATGTGTCACAGGAGGGTGCTGCTGGCTGGCGGCTGCTCAGAGCTCTGCAGGACAGCTCTGCTCTGGAAATTGTTTGCACAGGCGCTGGGTTGGCAAGCTCAGAGATGCTGGGGGCTGATCTCTCATCCTGCTGTTCCTTGCCAGCTGTGCCTGCCTGTGGAGCTCAGCTCACTCCCGTGTGTGGCTCTGGATTTACTGATGCAGGAGGTGACAGATCTGCCAGCTCTGCGGGGTGGGCTCTTCCATTTCAACCCTGAGCTGGCAAGGCTGGAGGCAGGTTTGACTCCTGTGTCTGCCCTGTCCTGGAGCTGATCTCAGGCTAAGTGCAGGCAGGGTGTTCAGTCCTTCTGAGGCAGCTCACGGAGGGAAGGGCTGACAGCACCAGGCCTGCCAGAGCTCATTTGGACAATGCTCTCAGATGCACAGGTGATTTTTGGGGTTGTCCTATGCAGAGCCAGGAGTTGGACTTGACAATCCCTGTGGGTTCCTGTCACAGCACATGCCAGTCAAGACAGCCACGATCACAGAGTGTCACCATGCAGCACAACCCCACACCCCATCAGAAGGCTTCAAGCACTCACCATTTATTGCCCTTCAGTCCAGCCTTTTATTCCCCTCATCTTACATGCCTCACCCCTGTGTGCCTCAGTTCCCTTTGGTGACAGGTCAGTAACCTGGGCCCTCCATGTCCCTCTGCCTTCAATGCTGGTTATCTGTCCTGCACAGCTGCCACTGGGGATGAGGCTCCATGGCAGCCCCACTCCCAGTCACCACAAACTGGGGGCCTGCGGGTCCCTTCCAGCACAGGGCGTTCTGTGATTCCAAAGGGCAGCCTGTGGTACTGAGATGTGTATCCTGAGGGCTGGCATCATCTGCTCATTCCACGTGGGCGTGGAGGATGGGTACCTGCTGTTCCCTTCACAGCTGTCCTTGGAGCTGTTCCCTGAGCCACCTCATCTGCCTTGTTTCACCAGGAGTGTTGCTGCCTCCTGCCCAGGCCCTCTGTCAGGGCAGTCTCCTTGCTGCTGTTTGGACAATATTTTACTTGCACTTTACTGCAATGACTGCAATAATTGGTGAGTTTAAGAAGAGGTGCTCATTTGAAATGCCTGAGCTCTAATTCCTCCCAGTTTCCCCATCCCTCACATTCCTTTCTCCCCGAGCTCAGCCGGTGGGAACTGGCTTCGTGCCTCAAACCTCTGCTGGCTTGGCCCTTGCTCTCCCCCACCCCTACCAAGGGCTCTGCCCTGCTCCCTGGAGAGAAATGAGTGACATCTCAGCTTCCTTGTTGAAGATCCTTAGATCTTTTTGGCTCTGTTTCATTGTGCCCTCTGTCCAACCCCAGCTGCCCTCGGACAGCTGCCAGATGTCCGAATGTCACAGGTCTGGCTGAGAGTTCCTGTCACTGTTTCCAGCGTTCTCTGCCCCCTGACAGCTTTGTGCTACACCGAAACAGCATCCAGAGAATATGGTTCACTTCCCTGGGGGAAGGCAGCAAAATGTCTGTGAGGCGTCTGTGTCCCAGGTATGGCTTTGTGGTTTTTCCTATTATTAGGAAAAACACAAGAGTCTCATTCATCTCCCTCAGGCTAATGCTGCTGTCACATGGCATATAGTGTGATTTGGTGTTAGCATGAAGCATTTATACAAAAAAGAGCATTAGTTCTCATTGTTCTCCACAACAGTAAATGATGAAGACACAATGTTGTACTGATTGTAACAGAAGGGATTTTCCTTCTGCTTTCCATCCACAGCACTTGAAACCTTTTTCTGACCCTGGCAAGGAACAATTGCTCTGCATTAGGCAGGAACCTAATGTGAGAGAGAGAGACTCACACAAATTGTTTGAACAGTCAGGGCAATTTAGTAACTGAAATGGAGTTAAAAGACATCTTAATTCCTTGTCAGTTTTTCTGATCTTTCTAGCTCTTGACCACAAGCATATAAATGTCTGTTTTTATTAGTGGGGAAGTATTGGTGAACACTGAGTCTGGAGGTTAATGTAGACTCATTATTAGGTTTTCTTTGATAAAAAATATTGTATCAACTTGGTGAGATGGTTTCAATAATGCAACTTCATTGCAGTTCTGCTGTAATTAAATATTGATTTCCTACTTCTTTCTATAAAAACCTCATGCCTTCCCTTATTATGTCACCCTCCCACCTGTTAAGCTCTGATTTCATGAGACGTTGTCTGTGCTGTCAACATCAGCTTAAAATGTTCCAATCTCTCTGCATTTTCCTGCCCTGGCCTCACAGCACGTTGCCTCCCAAATTTCTGCCGCTGCAGTTGTTGGTGTGCTGTAAATCTGATCAGGGAGCCGAGCTGCTTCTAACAAGTGCGTCATTGTTTGGGCTTTTTTGTTGGATTTTTTTTTTTCCCCTGGAGTGGTGTGCTTCACAGTGCTGCTGCAGGAAAAAATTGTGCTGGCACATTTGAGAGAACAATGTGATCAGGGCTAGGTGGGGAGGCAGAGGTTCTGCTGCCAGCCCATTCACCTCTGAAAACAGCTGAATTGCTCAGCAGAGCTGCCTTCTGCTGCATGAGGCACAACTGTTGGAAACCCCACCAAAGTGGTGCCACCCCATCCTCACCCCCAGAAACTGTTCCTAAGTGTCAGGGACTGTCAGTGTTATCCTTCAATCAGATTTACAGTCTCTGATCTGAAAGATCAAGTGAGAAGTCCCTTCTGGAAGGAAGTAACATCCATGGCACCTGCAGGGAAAGAAGAGATCACAGGAATGATTTCACACTTACTCCAACATTAGTAACAGTCTGGGATATGGTTTTCCAGCCTCTGGTTTAGAGATCTCATGGTAAGGTCAGGTATTCTGTTCTCTTTTTCCAACACAAACTGACCCCTGTATGGGAAGGGTTTGGCATTGTGGCTGTGTCTCAGAGCAGAAATGAGGTTGCTGATTCCTCGTGGTTTAAACCTGAATGATGTGGAGCTGGCTGGAGCTGTTGGTGCCACAGACAGGTGAAGTCCAATGCCTGAGCATTTTTGCCAGTGTGTTCTCCTGCCTGTCATGGAACCTGTTTTCTCTGTCTTGTGCCACTGCTTGTACCCATGTAAGAATAAAAAATGCTATTAATTGGAATAACAGCAGTTGCTCCAAGTGTAACAGGTGTCACAAAAGGTAGGCAGAGGATGCTTAGACTCAGCAACTCTATCCTTGAAATTTTGGCCTGATCTGCTGTTTTTTAAATTTCTTTTAGAGAGAAGCAAGAACTTGCTGAGAGAGGCAGGTGATTCTCTCCATCTTTGGCTGAGGTTCCCACCTCAGACACTTCAGCTCCAAGGAGCTTTCCAGTGCCATGGAGATCGAGGTACCTGCAGTAAGTGTGGCTGGATCCTGCACCCTCAGGATCTTAACAACCTGCTGTGCTGTGGATGACAAAGCTCTGGTAAGTGTGGCTGGATCCTGCACCCTCAGGATCTTAACAACCTGGAAGGGTTTTCTGCTGTGCTGTGGATGACAAAGCTCTCCTGCTCAGGGCATTCCAGAGGTCATCCAGATGAGAGGCTCCTGCTGGGCCCAGTTTTACTGAGAGGGCT